TACTTCCATCTTTAATCCTAAAAAAAATCGAGTGAAACGAATAAGCGCACCTAGAATAATAAAGCTTTAATAAAAGGTCCACTTTTTGTCTTGATGATCGGTACTAGATTTGTGTGCTAGTTTGAGTGTAAGGATGTGATTAATTCTTTAGTTGGCTAAGATAGCAACACATTTGATGCCGGTTTACTTAAAAGGATTCTAGAGTTGTTTTGATTTGCATGATCATTTTCTTGATGCGTGGAGGACCATACTTATTTGCTTGATGTTAAGATTTTTGGAGATTGCTTGGAAAGGGTTGAAAAATTGCATACTTAAGGTAGTTTTCTCCCGATGCTTGTTTGCAATATTGGTGCCTCCTTTGAAAGAATGAGCTTAATATTTGTGGGTATCATTTCTGGAAACCCTCACGAGACTTCACTCGTCCACTAGGGGTAATCTAGGGGTTTAAAAGGCTTATTGCATATGCTAAGTGCAATCGTGTTCCCTACGAAAGTGGCGTTACCCATTTATTGTTTTCTAGTTCATAGTTGTTCATTTCATTCCTTTACTTTCTAGTTTATTACTAGGGACTAGCAATATTTAAGTTTCGGGGTGTGATGAGCGCTGCAAAATGCATATTTAAACCCCTTAAGCTTAGGCATTCTAGTACCTTTATCTAACTTACTTTACCGTTTTAGATTGATTTCGTATTATTTCCATTTTCAGGCACTTATCCCGAAAATAAGCTAACTCAGCCAAATAAGAGCTTAATTGAAGCAATTCTGGGATTAAACAAAGAAAGGAGTAAAGTGAAGAAAGAAATAAGCAAATGAAGCCAAAGGTGAGAAGCAGCAAAGTTCGATGGATCCAAGTTCAAGGTTCGATCGATAGAACAATGATCGATCTCAGCACTTCAAGATAGATCCAAGCCTTGGCCCAAAAGCATAAAGTCCCAAAATTTCGATCGATCCAACACCATCCTTCGATCGATCGAACACTTTTGTCCTTATTCAAATGATTGATCCTATCCACAGCTGTACCACCCACTAACCACTTTTGTCCTTTTCTCATAAATATCTCTCCAAAATATCTCGGATTTGTCTTTTCCCAAAAAGCTCAACCAGTTGGATCGATTCAGCCTAAGTTCGATAGATCTCAGCCAGTTCGATCGATCTAAGTCTAAGGTTCGATCGATCGAACTTCCTCCAGTGCAAAAAAGTTAAAATTCCATCTCATTGAAAGTTGTCCTTTATCCAATCATTAGGGAATATTGTGTGCACGACCCCAACTCATTTTGGGTGTCATTTTGACCTACCTATATAAGGATAAGGATTGTTTTTTACAAAGAGAGCCAACATTGTTTTCATATCATCTCTTAGAGAGCAAGCGTAGAGGAGGAGGAGGAGGCTAGAGACACCATTGGAGTTCTTCATCAACAAGGAGCAGATTTCAACCATGGAGTTAGCCCTTGAGGGTTGGAGCAACATCACCATGAGTGGCTAGACATCCTCTTGGGGCTTGAGTTAGCCCCAAGCATGCTTTCTATATCTTAATCTTGTGCATTATTAAGGGATTAGTGTTGTAATTGATGTTTTGACACTTTGATATATATAGGTCTTGTTTATTCAATGATTTATGTGGTTTAATGCTTTCAATTGATCATTTCATTCTATCCATATGTCTATGTATGCTAGAATAGATGTTCATGTGCTTGTCTCTAGATTTTGTGTTATTGATGCATGTCTATGTATATTGATGCTATAGATTTGGAAATTGTCAAAACATAGTGCTTAAAGGAATGCTTTTGTGATTCTCTTGATGGTTCATGCTTATCTCTTGATGGATTGTACCTCTCCCCTAGTTTATTTTCATGCTAGTAGTGTAGATGTAGTGTAGTTGTAGTGTAGTGTTAAATGGGAGGACAATCTATGCTTGTTGTTTGATGATCCAAGCTTTTGAATGCAAGTAACATATGTCTCTATCCTTGTGTTGAATTTGGATTGTGAGCTTAATGAAAGGATTAATGACTTGTTTTGATTTATTGTGCCTTTCACATGTTGTTTAGACAAAATATGCTTCATTGCTTAGATATATTGTGCCTTTCACATGATGTTTAGACAATACATGCTTAACTAGTCATCCTTACTTGTTGAATCAACCAAGCACACACACCCCAATATTGCAACGCACTATTTGCCCTCATTAATCACTTGTCAATGATATAAAAATGCATTGCTTGGTGGTGATCTTTACACCCCAAGATCTCTCCATCTTACTTACTCTTAATTGCATTCTTTGCTATTACTTAGTTTAATTTAGTTGCTCTTTAATCAACCAACCAACCAATTGTTTGATCACTCGACCTACTAGCCCTAATAATAATTCCACGACATTGCTCGATCCTCACAGTCCCTTGGGACGATCCCTACTCGCCCTAACTATATTTTTAGTGAAGGTAGTCGTGACTTCTATAAATGTAAAACTCTTGGCCCTCGCCTTAATGCACACTCTTAAGCTTATACTAGGACGACGACCACCAACACACATACACAAACACAAACACAGTGACTTTAATTCCTAATCCACTGCTCACTTCTTCACAAACATGCAAAAACAGGGGAACATAGAAATAAAGCGTCAATAGGACATGAACAAGCCAACTATCAATGTCAATACACATGAAAAGATGGGCGCTTTGAAATCCAAATCACTATTACCACTAACAACAACAGAACATTGTGGCAAAAAGAATTTGCATTAGTTCTCCTTCACTCTTTCATATATCTAATTTACTCAATAGGTTTTTTTTTACTTCATTGTTTATTTGTTTCCTTACTTTTCCCACTTGTGTAACTGACAATGATGAAATGTGGGAGCATTAGTTTGTGGGAAATGATGGGAAGGTCTTCAGCTTATTTTGAAAAACATTACAACCATGTTAAGTTATTTATAATGAACAATCATAACTCTCAATGGAAACTTACATGTCATACACTAGAAAATTTATTCCAACATATTCAATTGGAAGTATAAAACCTCAATTTCTTATTATACAAAATATCCCAAATATATTGTACTACTTATCACAAACGAAACACTGCATTACAGGAATACAATGGAAATTTTATTCTAACATCTTTAATTGGAAGTTTAAAACATAACATATAATACAGAATATAACGACTTTTTCACAATTTCATAATATAATTTTCACAATTTCTGTTTCAATTTTTCACAATTTAATAACACTTCAAGTATAACCAAACAAAACTAATGAAACACAATGTCATACGATTCACAAATTCACTTACAAAACCAGTAAACTGTAGCTTCGTCTTCCTCTACCATAAATCAACCACACGACATTGCACCTTCCTCTTCCCCGCCGTTCAATTAAACCTTTCAAAAGAAATTGCAATTTTGGAAAGAACAAAATCAAGGAAAGTTGGGACAATGTCGGAAAGACAAATTTGTTTCTTTCTATATTTTGGGAGAGAAGAAGAAAGAAGATTAAGAATAGGCGCTATACCTTCGTCACTGTAGCTTCCTCTTCTCCGCCCTTGAATCAAACCTTTGAAAAAAATTGTAAATTTGGAAACAAGGAAGAAAAATCGGGAGAGAAAAACAAGAAATAAAATTACATATTTAGACGAGGCGATTCGTCACTGTAGATTCCTCTTCTCCGACATTCAACCAAACCAAACCTTTAGAAATAAATTGTAAATTTGGAAAGAAGGAAGAAAATTTGGGAGAAGAAGAAAAAAGAAGATTAGAAGAAGAGGCGCGGAAATTGTAAATTTGGAAAGAAGGAAGAAAAATTGGGAGAGAAGAAGAAGAAACAAGAAAGAAGCTTAGAAGAAGAGGCGCTAAATCTGTTCCAGAATTTCCAATTTGCCGCTTAAACATGAGTTTCAATTTCTGCAATTTCGAATCTCTGTGTATGTATAATTTCGTCTGTGTGTGTATTGTTGTTTATATATGTATCTGTGTGTGTATATACCTTTTTTAACCAAAGTCCTGTTTGGCCTTTTTTCCACTGCTACAGTGGCTGAACAGTGCAAACAGGAGGGAATAGATTATACTGTTCGACAGAAGAGGATTCTGGTCCGTTCCAGTACATGCATCTATATAAATTATACCCCATATATCAACATCATGACGTGAACACATCATGCTCTAGTCAGGATGACAAAGTCCAGAACCACCACAATTTAAATTCCAAGTATGACCCAACAGTTGATTGGCTATCAAGCTTAGTTTAATATATCAACAGAGATATTGCAAATGGATAGAAATTTCAGGAAAGGGACTTCTAATTTGTCTTATTTATATCAAACCTTCTTCATGATCACTTTTTTTCCCCTAAATATCTCCCTACATATTCTTAATTTTCTACTTAATCACTTACTCCACTATTGCTCTTAGAATCATATTAATACCCTTTTGCTGATGAAGAATTTTAGATTTTTTAAAACTATTTTATAATAGAGTAACGCTCTATTTAATCATTTGGATTGAAACAGTTTTTTAAAATTTGTAAAAAGTCAAATAAATTATTTAATGTATCTTTCAATTCATGAGTTAAAAAATGAAAGCTCATGCTACTTCCCATGATAGGATTCTCTTAAGAGCATTACTAAACAATATGTATATGTTGATCACTTCCTTACCGCATGATTTAGTGGGATCATTTCTTCCCCTTGAATTGCATTACTCTTAGTAAAATTTAATAACTCTCTAATTCCCTATTCCAATAATGTCAAATAAAGTGAAAGCTAGTTCTTATGACCTATAAGTGTTTAGTTGTATTATTATTTTTTTTATTTTTATTATTATTTTGAGTTGAAGGATGTTAAATGATATAGATGAAAAAATTAATTTGACATAAAATGAACCAAAAGAGGGGTGAAAACAAATTAGCTAAAAGATACCTTAACCATGGAAGAATACTGTTCAAGCAAGAAAACACCATTAATCACCATAAATTAACTTCCCGTAGTACTTAGACAAACCACCTAAAAATGGAAGAAGTGAAGGTGCATGGGTTTTGGGCTAGCCCTTTTAGCCACAGAGTAATATGGGCTCTGAAACTAAAGGGTGTGAAGTATGAGTACATGGAAGAAGACCTCCAAAACAAGAGTCAACTGCTCTTACAGTATAATCCCATTCACAAGAAGGTCCCTGTGCTTTAACTAAAAAAAAAAAAGAAGGTCCCTGTGCTTGTTCATGGTGGTAAACCAGTTGTGGAGTCCCTCGTCATTCTTGAATACATCGAAGAGACGTGGCCGGAGAGCCCATTGCTGCCAGAAGATGCTTATGAGAAAGCCATGGCTCGATTTTGGATCAAATTTGCAGGAGAGAAGGTAAATTATCATAAATATATTTTTATCTTAATTTAATAGATTGGTTCTGTACGCACTTGCACATGCAATATTCTTGTAAGATCACCTATCAGTTTTCAAAACAATGCTCAAGAATTTAAACATGTTTTCAGATAATTATAAAAGATTATTCTCTCAAATCGTTTTATTATTTTTTTATCATTTTGTTGAAAAAGGCCGCTTAACAATTATCTGTTACCCTCTTAAATTAGGGTCGTACCTGTTTTAATCCCTTCCTTTTAACCGGTGAGGCACAAGAGAAAGCGATCGAAGAAGCAATGGAAGTGTTGAAGATTGTAGAAGAGAAAGGCCTTGGAGATAAGAAGTTCTTTGGAGGTGAAGCCATAGGACTAGTGGACATAACATTTGGGTTGTTTGGTTACTGGTTAGAGTGCTTTGGAGAAGCAGTAGGGGTGAAACTGCTGGAACCAAGCATTTTGCCTCGATTTTGTGCATGGGTTCAAAATTTTAAGGAAGTTGCAGTGATCAAAGAAACTCTTCCCGATCGCGAAAAATATATGGCATATTGTAGATGCTTGATGGAGAAACATATGAAAAATTCAGCAAAGTAGCACCTGGCTAGAAAATCAGCGTGTTGTGAGGGATTTAATAAAGGAGATCGAATCACAAAAGCAGCTCTCAAGAAAAAGAACTGTTGGTGAATTTTGATCCATATGAATGCTAAATTTGTTTAATTACCTATGTTTAAATGTGTGATGATATTTAAGTCTACGTACTGAAGGTGATAAAATAAATAAATTGTGTTTTTAAGAGGTAATATATATTATAAAATGTAGAAAAATATGTATAGATATTTTGTTGTCTGTTTTCAGACTTTTTGCGGGGATTTAGATGGTTTTTTTACAGCCATTGCCATTTGCCATTTGCCTAGTTAATAAAAAATAGTCACTCAGCATTGGACACAAGTACAATATTATTTCATATGAATGCTAGATTGAGTTACTCTGTTTCTTTTTCTTTTTTTTTTTCTTTTTTTTTTTTTTAATGCTATCTCCTTAGTTTGTGTTATGGGTGCACACGTTTGGATGGAATCGATTTACTAATATTTTGAAACTAATACGAACATATAAAATATATATATATATATATATTTGAAACCCAATCAATCCGATCATATTGTCTAAACTGAACTGATCAAGACGGTTGGATCATATTGGTTTAACTTTTATGAAACGAAGTGCAAGTTTCAATGGAAACGGCTGATGTGCCAATGGATATGGAATTGGGGCATTTGGATTGGGTATTGGGATTTATTTTATGAGGTATGATAAAGTCTATGCTTAACTTACATAGATAATCAAGAGTAAGGGAACTAATATATATATATATATATATATATATATATATATATATACTCTCATTGAGTTTGACACAATCACTCTGTACACAACTAAAAACCATAGGATTTTAAGATTAATCCTAGTTAATTGCAAACAATTTCTTAGAAAGGATATATTAGTAACAATAAAAATAATAATAATAATAATAATACTAGAGACAGTACTCAATCATAAAATATAGTTACAAGACAGTACTCGGAGAACCCGTTGCTGCCGGATGATGCCAGAAGGGAAAGAAAGAATGCGGAAAAAATTAAAGTTCACCTGAAGAGGGGCCAAATCCAGGACGGAGAGGACATGCAAATAGAAAGGGTTTAAAGGAAACCTAAAAGTCGACAGATGGCCGGGAAAAAAAAGCATCTCGTCACTCTCTAAACCCTCACAGTGCTAAAATTCAAATCATAAAGATATTCTTCTAGAGTAACATCCTCAGGAATTCTATTCTTTCTTCTCAATTGAAGAATGGAGATGAATTTTCTCTCCACTATGTCCACGGGAAGAACTATAGGGCCCTCTAGAGTAATTTTTTTTGGCATTCTATCCTGCCTTCTCGATCACCGGAGTACTAAAGACAGTACTCAATCATATATATATATAATTACTTTAAAGATGTAACTGCAAAAATTTTATTCCAGAATGCAATACATTATCTAATCCAATAGTTTTGTAATTTTAATGTAATAGTGTTATGTAGTTTAATTACACAACAAAATATAATAAGTAATGTTTATAGGCAGATTTGAGGTTCCAGAAAGTCAAAAAAGAGCTGTGCACTGTGTGCGTATCAAAATAATGTGAACACTGAAAACACACACTAATCAATATGTTTTTTTTTTTTGGTTCAACAAGCGTGATCGTGATTTAATTTTGCAGATTCCACTTAGTTCCATGGGAGCGGTTGATCACAAAGTTTGGGGGGCATCTTCTGATGGCTTATTTTCTGTCAAAAGTGCTTACAGGGTGGCTCTTTCTATTCTATCTCGGCAGCGATGTGAGGCAGAGGCCAAAGGCAACAGTTTTGATGGAGCTCGATGCAGCATGTGGGGTAAGGTTTGGTCTTAACAGTTCCCTCGAAAAATTATTTTGTTTAGTTGGCAAAGTCTACATGATCGTTTGCCAATGAACTTGCTCCTGTCAGTCCGAGGGGTCACTGAGGTGTGTTCATGCCCATTTTGTGAGTCCTTTGTGGAATCAGTTGACCATCTCCTTTGTTCATGTTCATTTGCCAGTATGGTGTGGATTCATAGTCCCTTACGGGTGGATTTTCGTGGTACAGTTTCTTCTTTTGAAATGTCTGAATTATGGTCCAAGTTCGAGTTCCCGAAGGACTGTCTTAATCTTGCTGCATTTACTTGTTGGGCTATTTGGAAGAGCCGAAATGATCTTGTGTTTAATCATAAAAAATGGACTCCTTTGGAGGTTGCCAACAAAGCTTTACAGGATTTTTATGAGTATCAGGAGGCCTCGCGGCAATCTCGGTTGCTTTCTTTTTCTGGTCCTCCTGTTCTTTCTCCTCCTGTTCTTTCTCCACCTCCTCGATGGTGTGCTCCAGAAGAGGGATCATTCAAATTGAACTTCGACGCCGCTTTTGATTCATCCAGAAAATTATGTGGTGGGGGGATGATTTTGCACAACCACTTCGGGCAGCCTGTTACAGTTTCCTCCCTCTTCTTCTCAAATGTTGGGAGTCCATCTTTTGCGGAAGGCTTAATTCTTTGGGAATGTTTGTCTCTTCTCTGACTTTGGGAGTATCACAATGTCATCGTGGAAGGGGACTGTCAGCCTGTTATGTGCCTCCAAGCAAATGATGAGGCTTTATGTGTTCTTTTTCACGATGTTCGTTCACCCCTTTGTTTATGCAATGGTTCCTCCTTGGCTTGGGTGCCTCACCAAGGTCATGTTGTAGCTCTTGTTGAGCAAAAAGGCTTTTACAGCCGCATGTTCAGATCTCGAGTGGAGCATCTGGCCCAAGTGACTGTTAGACATTCTTAGCTCTGACTGTATCTTCCCTCCTTTTTAATCATATGGTGTTTCGTTTGGCTATGTCAGTGTCCAAAGTTCAAAATCGTTGAATAGTTTAATGTTGGTTGGCTGTCAAAGGTTGTTTAGTGAACAAGAGTATTCTAAATAAATAAAAGTTTGAGCACAGGGCCTTTTAATTTGTCTTATTTATACTTAACCCTCTTCAATTTCTTTAATAAAAAATTAGTGCCTGTGACCCTATCCCTCCAAATACAAAATTAGTACTTCAAAAAAAATAATAATAATAATAATAATAATAAATAATAAATAAATTAAAATTCAAGGCTAAGCTTGTAAATCTGCCCTCCAAATACAACTTATTTAGTATGCTTCTAATATCAATACCCGTTTTGAAAATTTAGACCTTTTTCAATATCTTAAAATCAGATATTCTTTTTGTCAAACTAAAAATTGCTACTTTTCCTAAGCTAACAAAATCTTTTCCATTTATTTTTATTGTAAATACTCCTTTAACTTATTGAAAATCGAGAGTTTGAATCCTCTTAGAGTCATTCCAAGGAATTTATAGTTTTTGAAGAAAAGTATTTTTTTGCCTTCTTATATATATATTCACACACACACTTGTTTATATATAAGATTACCGTACCCAACTTACCCAAACAAAAAGTCTTTTATTTTGTCTTTTTTTACTCTAGAAGTCGTAAAAGATCTAGATCACATAATTAATTCATTTGGCATAAAATAAAAAAATAATAATAAAGGGGGGGGGGGGGGGGGGGGGGTTCTAAACGAAATAGCTTAAAGAACCTGGCACAAACTAAAAACCATGACTCCACAAGGTCTCTTCCTCTAATTTCCAAAAGTTGGAAATGTAGTGTGTGTGTGTGTGTGTGTTGGGGGGGGGGGGGGGGGGGGGGTTGGGGAGGGAAACCATGACTCCACAAGGTTTCTTCCTCTAATTTCCAAAAGTTGGAAATGTAGTGCCCAAGTAAGAAGGAAGCATTTGTCAACTATAAAATTGACTTTTCCTGGTACTACACAAACCACCTAACAATGGAAGAAGTGAAGCTACATGGATTTTGGGCTAGCCCTTTTAGTCACAGAGTAATATGGGCTTTGAAACTAAAGGGTGTGAATTATGAGTACATAGAAGAAGACTTCGCCAACAAGAGTCAACTGCTTTTACAGTATAATCCAATTCACAAGAAGATCGCTGTGCTTGTTCATGGTGGCAAACCAGTTGTGGAGTCCCTTGTTATTCTTGAATACATAGAAGAGACATGGCCGGAGAACCCGTTGTCGCCGGATGATGCCTACGAGAGCGCCATGGCTCGGTTTTAGATTAAATTTGGGGACGAGAAGGTAAATTATGTTACAAATCGTTCATTTTTTTAGTACGTACATATATGCTTGTTAGTTCTTGTACAAAGAAATCCATTTGTTACATAGCGTCAACTGAAAAAGAAAAAGAAAAAAATCATCAACTTTTATGATTTACTAGTAGAAAATCTCCCGGAGCTTTCATTTTTGCCTAAAAGCCCTTATACACCCTTATGTTTTCGAACCATTACAATAGTGACGTGAAATTGAAAATTTTGGATCTAAAATCTCTATAATACTTTTATTTATTGATGAAACTAAGCTCAAATCATTTTTAATCAATGAATTGAACCCTAATGTAAATAGATATTTGTATATAGGGTCCCAAATTGTTTGCCCTTTTATGAAATGAAAAGATACAATAGGAAGCAATCAAAGAAACAAGGGAAGTGCTAAAGATAAGAGAAGAGAAAGGGCTTGGAGATAAGTTCTTTGGTGGCAATGGCATAGGATTAGTTGACATCTCATTTGGATGGTTTGCTCACTGGTTAGTCTGCATTGAAGAAGTGACTGGGGTAAAATTGCTAGAACCAAGAACTTTGCCTCTCTTGTGTGCATGGGTTCAAAATTTTAAACAACTTACTGTCATCAAAAAAAATCCGCCCAATCGCAAAAATGTGTTGGCTCATCTAAAACGCTACAGGGAGAAGCATATAACAAACTCAACAAAGTAGCATGTATCTTGAAAATGTTCTTTTCATGCCAGTAAATTGCAACAAAACAAACACAACTTTCTTCTAAATTAAAATAGAAATTAATTTTAGACTTGATAAAACCACCATAGTTCTTAAGGTTCGACACCCTCTAAGTGGGCCTATCCTGCAAAGGATTTGTACTATTGCGAGTGGTAAAATAAAATACATCAGCTAACATCATGGGGATTTTTCATGACAATTTTATCACAATGATCCAATTGACAGAGGCCGACAACTATGCTTAGTGGAAAAGGCTCGTTGATTCAATGCGAAGATCTGTGATTCATCAGACCCATCATAGAATGCTTTGGAGAGAGCACTCCAAATTTCCCGTGCGATGCACAACCGGAGATAGTGCTTCATGATTTCCGGTGACATAGCAATCAACAACCATCCCTTGACATCTAATTTTTTGCATACCACTTTACATGAGAGGCATCAGTAACTTCGAGTTTAGGTGTTTTGCCAATAATATACTCAAGTTTCTCGCGTCCTGCAATATGCATCTCTATGATCTAGGACTATACGCCTGTGAAACAAGAGTTACGCCGGGTGCAGAAACATTCAGTTGATTTTAATTGTGATTAACTCCTTGAATGATCTAGATCTGATTATTAGGTCAACTTGCTCAATTTATGATCGATTAAATTATATGATCAATTTAAACATCCACAATCACAAATATATTTAAAGTAAAACAAGTTAGAGTTAGAGAGATTGCACCAGAATTTTAGCGAGGAAACCCAGTTGATAAAATACGTTAACTGTTTGCATGGGAAAAATCTCGTGGACTATGCAGTCCAAAGTAAACTGATCCATTATGTTTGAAACAAAGTAGACCGAACTTTGACTCTGGCTCACACCTGGCCTATCGTTCTACCAAACACCAATTGCTGACAATCCTCTGGTTTTGCGACTCCCCGTCCAACAGCAACTTGACCTTAGGCCTGTGCTTGGTATTTGTAGAAGAGTAGCAGGTAGATCAAACAACACTCCTCAAATGCTTCAACCCTTTCAAAGTGTGATCGTTTTTACTTCTGTTCTTCAAGATCTGAACACGATTGTAGAAGAATTAAATCCTGCTGATTATCTGGAATCTCTGAATCCTCAATATAGCTCCAATTCCGATGAGATAGAGAACAACACAACTAAATTACTCATGAATATATATGTGTGCTCTCAAAAATAAATTCAGAATAATCAGATTTGATTTTCTGAATTTTTCTCTCTCTAAAGACTTTCTCAAAATATAGAATTGATTTCCCCTAAAGTCATCCCCAAACCAATGTATATGACATGATTTATATAGAGTTTTGAAAGTTCTAGTCCCTTAAAAAATATGATAAATTTCGTGCATAGGACTTGGAAGGAAGTTGGGATCAAAAAGGAAACATTCAGAAGAAGGGAACTAAAATAAGAATGCTACCATGAGACCTTGAACCGTTCAAAGGGGATGAACTGATTCAAGAAGGCCAGTAATGAATCCCACTGATTCTTGAACCGGTTCAGTCCCCTTGAACCGGTTCAAGATGGCCAGTCTTGAAGCTTAGGCAATTCTGCTGATGTTGAACGTATTCGATAAATCTTGGACCAGTTCAAGATAAACAAAATATAAAAACTTGTTTCGAACCTTTCAAAACCCTTCCTAAATATTCTCAATACTCCTCAAAACTTCCTAAATCATTGTTCTCATCATCTCGAAGTTGTAGTATATCATGAACACTTAACCTTTTTCAAATCCGCATCCGATCTTCAATCTTTGAAATTTTGAACCGAAAAATTACAACTCGATCGGACTTGTTTTGACATTGAAATTAGCCAATTACAAAATATATATCTCACAACGTCATAGTTGGATTCATTAAGGGTGATTCCGGCATTGAAACCAGAACCTTCTGACTGAACATGTATAACCTGGGGTTGTTCGGGAATGGTTGAAAATTCAAATTTGTTGTTGTCCTTGGCCATGGATGACAGGGATCACAACAACAAAGTATGGCTTCAGATTATGGGTTACAGTGCGATTCGGATTTGAGGAAGTTTTAGACGGGTTTTTCAAACCTTCTCTAATACCATGAAGAATTTTAAGGTTTAATATTTTGATGATCTTATTCTTCTCCCAATGGAGGTATATATACTGATTTATAAGTGTGGAGAACAAATAACCTAATACAATCAACTTCCTTAATTATAGAAAACCTATCAATTACAGAAAAGATTTACAAAGAAAGTCAACACTAATTAATTCACCTAATTTACAGCTATCTTAACAAGACATTGATGGTCCAAACCTCAAAAAAAAAAATTTGTAGAATCTTGTTCCTAATACTGTTCATATCCTTGATGACTTTTGCAGGTAAAATGAGAAGATTATACATGTGAGTAGCGCGGTGCGAAAGCTGTTAGTTGAATAATTTGTGAATCAACTCTCTAAAGGACCTAGAGGGAGGTGAATAGGTCAACTTGCCCAATTTTTGTGATTGTTTTAATTACCCACAATTATGATCAATTAAACATCCACAACCACAAAAATAAATAGAATTAAGTAAACAAGTAAAGTAAAGTTTGAGGGACGACATCAGGATTTTTAGCTAGGAAAACCAATTGGAAAAACCTCGAGGATTTTCACGTTGTCCTAGGAGAAACAATCCACTATATATGAAGCAAAGTGGAATGAATTTC